GCCCGTCCCGACCGGTGGGCCTAGCCGCTCGTTGTTGAGCGTGTGACAGTGCCGGTGTTGCGCTGGGGGCGGAGGTTTGCTTTCCACCGGGATAAGCTCGCCGCAGAGTTGGGAGGGGGGACACTTCGCGCCAAGCACCCCGCAGGAGCGAGGATGCGGGATCCTTGCTGCCCAGGGTCAAATTGGTGTAAACTTGAGGGTCAGGTTTCATGGCATGGTCCGTCTGCAGACTGTTGCTGGATGAATCTACCCTCATCTGTTGCCCTCTCTGTCTTCTGCCGCTTTCTTTGTTTTGGTGGGTAAGTTAGTCTCTCAGATCAACTCTTGATTCAGTGGGAAGCAGATCACTTTTTTTTTTTTTTGTGGGTAGGCTTTTCTGTCAGATGGAGCTCTTGCTCCAGTTGATTTTTTCCTACATACGATCTGTGGATGTGAAAATGTATGGTGATGTAGAAGGAACGAAAATAGGATTGCCCCTTCAACAGCAACTTGCTCTTAGATTATGATGATGTTAATGCTGTGTTTTGCCTTGAACTTCAGAAACACGAACCCAGTTAGCAGAATTGACTCAGCTAATGAATGGGCTAGGAGGAGAATTCCTGGACCCATTCCCCAGGAAGGTGACCCACTGGGAAACTGCGTGCTAGTAACATACTGTTTATTTTGCTCTGTAGCACAGTGATGCGTGTGTGCTGGCTCGTGGGGAAAGAGAAATGCAGTCAGCGAATGAAACTGCCGCACTTGGAAGCAGTGGTAATTGGGCGTGGCCCAGAGACTGGGATAACGGATAGGAAGTGTTCACGGCAGCAAGGTAAGGTTTAGCTCAAATCCCGCTTTCTACATGTAGCAGCAGCCAAACTCATGAAGAGTGCGAGATACAAGTAAGCACTCATGTTTATCAATAAACAGTTTTTCTGTTGAGCTAATTTACAGTGAAGATAATGGACCAATGTTTTGGCCTCATTCATAAGCCTGCTTTGAGCAGGGTCTACATGGGAAATCACAGTCTTTACTTGAAATCTAAGCAGGCTTTCCTTAGGCTAGCTTCTGCAGTCACTGGCTTTCTCTGCATGGCCCACAGTGTTGCCTCATTCTTGAAATCATCAAGCTTTTTTTATAAGCACTTACAGAGATCTCAGAGTCTAAAAAAATCAGAGGAGACACTTGATAACAGGAAGTTCACCTTTGTAAACTAAGGCATTGAACCTTAACGTGAGTCCCCAGGCCTGCAGTGATGTTCCACTGCCTGCATTCTTACTTTGTGAGTGGCACTTCATCTCTCTAGTCTTCCAGCAACTGATTTTTAATATGACTTGTTATTTTTTAGATGCACTGGGAGAATATGTAAAAATACCTGCAATCTATAAAATACTCCCTTTCACTCCCTCCCTGCCTTATCTTTCTTCCCTCTGGACACAGTCCTGCTCCTTGCTCTGTTGTCACAGAGGGCTGGTGAGAATAGCAAGCATGTGTAGAAGACTTCCACAGATTTCACATTTGTTCTGAAATAATTTTCCTGATCCCTGATGTGAAGTACTCAGGTATGGCCCAGTGTATGGGTTGGTTCCATTTTACCTGTAGTCCTGGAAACAGAGGACAAGGCAAAGTATTCTTCGCATTCATTCACAGAGATTGGCTTCAGAAGGTAGCAGATCTTAAAATGCAGGGGTGTCTCCTGCAAGGGGTAGTTCAGCAGAGTTCTGGCCTTTTTATTTACACTGTTTTGTGACACTTTGTTCTTTCTTTCCAGTTCAGTTAAAAGCAGACTGTAACAAGGGGTATGTCACAGTTAAGCAGGTATGTTTTTAAATGGGTGTACAATATTTCTGGTACTTACTGGGATGGTTGTTGTACTCAAACTCCACAAATGCTGCAGATGATGGTTCTGATCACTGGGTCTGAAGGGCCTGAAGCTGTTTTGTGACCAAGGAGAGCACAGCGAGTGGCCCTCAGAAGGGATCTGTGTTTTTCCTTCCCAATCGGCTGCAGTCTCAGACAGACAAACTTGCAGCATCAGGGAATACTGCTGTGAATCCTCAACCTGTTCTTCCAGGCACTATGTTCGGGAGGTTTTGCTGATCTGCCTCCTGAGCCTTAAACTTCTAAAGCTGAGGCAGCCCTTCGTTTAAGGTTAAATTGGTTCTTTTGTTAGTGGGACAGGGAAGTTGTGGAAGGTTTTTGTTTTGATGGCTGATAGAGCCAAAGGTGTGGGCACCTCTGGGAAGGGATGGGATGTGAGACAGCACTGCAGGCATTTTTGTGTTACTAACTGGATGGATGTAGGCTTACTCTCTCATACTTACGAGGACCAGTATCCCTGAGATAAGATGAAGGGAAAATTCTCTGGCTTCAGGTCCCAGGGCATGTATGTGTGCCTGCAGCATCAGCATGGGTGGACAACACATCAATGTGTTCTGCCTGCTGAGGAGTAACACCTTCTGTCAGAACGCCTCCAGAAGAGCTGAGTAAGCACAGGGACCCCACCAGCATCTGGTGAATCTGGCGAAGATCTCTCGGACAGTTTTCCACAGAAGTCAGCCTTAGCCACAATTTGAATACGGTGTTGATGAAATCTCAGGGCTGGGAGTACTTTCTGGTGGTGGGTGCTAGTGTGTTCTTGTTGTCCGCTCTACAGTTGCTTTCCAGGTGATTTGTGTGCAGCACGAGGTTCCAGTGATGAGTTGTTAGAGCGTATTGGCCCAGGGGATGTGAAGTGTTAATTGTCTTGAGTGACACTGCGGAACTGTGGACTGGAGATCCTGGCTGGAATCACTGCTTCATTGCAGTGAATAGCGAGTGATGAGAGGCACAGCACCGTGAGAGGCAGGTATTGCAGTGACAAAGCTAAAGAAACATTCTGTGACAGAATTTGTCAGTCCCAGGGAAGAGCTGGTTTCCTAAAGCTTGTTTCACGCATAAACATTAACCGCAAGTGTTTTGCTGAAGTCAGAGACTCCTAATTTCCCTAGGGTCACTGTCATGATCAGGCAAAATCCTTCTATCAAGCAGTCACTGTAGGCTGCCCGTGCCACTTTGAGTTATCAGTTATGCTTGAGACAGAGAAAAATGTATTGCTTTTCAGTTATCAGCTAAACTTCAGGTAACTTCTCAGTCTTTAAAACACTGTTCTGAGGGGAAAATTATTTTAGAGTTGCATAGAACTGTAAACTGATGCAATGAGAGGCAGGTAAAAATTTGACCTTGCTGCTAGAATAAATAACAAGAGTTGGTTTTGTAAAAGTGTGAGATGCAAAATTAAAGGGAAAGCATTAAACTACTGGTTTATACTTTGCACAAGCTGAGGTGGACAGAGAGGTTTAGCCTCTCTTGAAGGAACAGGCAGGTAGTGTCACCGTGTTTGAACACAGTCTTCTGTGGGCTGGAGAGGGGTTATCACATTTGGCTTGGGAAAGAAAAAAAAAAAAAAGACAGGAGCAAGGAGCTGATCCCTGTGTAGTGGATTCTTCTGGGGCCTCAGAGAGGCTTTTTTTCCTGATGTTTCTTTTCCTTTTGCCTACGCAGGAGAGAGTGTGTTGCAAGTGTTAGCGGTGGGCTGTGCTTGGTGAACTCAGTGGCTATGGGCCTGAACTCCTTCCTCTCTTGAAATGAGCCAAAAGAGTGTGCTTCTGTGTTTGAAGGCAAATGCGTTGATGGGACAGCATTTGGTAGAAACAGAAAATGAAATGCAGTTTCAATGAGAAGAAAGAGAAAGTAAAATAATTTGAAAACAAGAAACTTTCTGGGGATGATTGGACTGAAATAATTTGTTAAAACTCTTAACTCTTCAGAAATAATTGTTACTAAGGCTGTTATTATTTTAACAGTTCTTTAATAGGTTGTTAATTTTTTTGAGAAAAGTGTGGCATAGTTCTTGCTGTGACTCTGTAGTCAGCTGCTACAGAACTGTCGGGTCCCTGTGACACCATGCCCCTGAGGGTTGTGTGCTGACAGCTGTGATTGCAAGACTGGGCCATAGACAGGTGTCTCCAGCGTTGGACTTCTCTAGAGTGGGTTGGTGTGGGGAGGGCATGCAGTGAATACAAAATGCATTTGCTTTCTTTCCAGCATAGTGATATTTCAGGACAGTGGAGTGGTAGTTGGCAATTCTAGTTGCAACATCATTTGCTATTTTTTTTTTTTCCCTTTTCTCTCTACCAAAGATAGGAGTCAACCCAAGTAGTGTTGATCTCGTGAATATTGGCAAGGATGAAGAGGTGAAAATGAAGCCAGGCCAAGTTCTGCATATTGTGAATAAACTTTACCCCTACACGGTGCGATTTGCTGAAGAGTCAGGGAAAACCGCTAGAGAAGCGGAAGAGAAAACACAAACCGACAAGATGCCGTGTGAGGTCTCCAGCGAGAATGATGATGTAGAGCTTGTGCCCAGAAAAACAATGAAGATGGAGGTGGTGGATGCACAAGGCAGTACTGCAAATCCCAAGCTAAGCAATACTGGCCTATCTCCATGTGAAGGAACTTCGGTCAAAAAGGCAAGTGTGTCGGTATTAGTACTTGTGGTGTTTCTCCTGGGCTTGTCTCCTCCATCAGGGCTTTTACTTTTGTGGGTACTACTGATGGGGAAGCATCTCAGGTCAACACAGATCCTCAAGAGTGTTCAGAGCTTGTGAGCTCACGTGCGCTGAGGCAAAGACTCTGCTCCTGACGACACCCAGGTCCTGAGAAAGTTACCTGGGACCCATTCTGAGCTGAGGGGTGGGTGGGTGTGAAGGGGCTTGCTTATAGTGAGTGAGGTTTTCAGTCTCTGGTTTCTGCTGCAGTTTCTGCTAGGACAGCCCACGTGAGCTCAGTTTGGCTGGAGTCACACAAGGATACTGTGCTGGCTCTTGAGATGAGATCTGCTGCGTTAGAAATAGAGAAGTGGTTATCTAAAAGCTTACAGAGAATGGAACAACTTGACTGTCTTTTTTTTTTTTTTTTTTTTCAATTGCTCTTTTTTTTACCCCTGCTTCTGCTTTGGTCATTCCTTACGGTAGAACCATGTTTACATTAATTAATGTTACCAGCCAAAATCTTTTGAAAAGGAGCTTTTAGCCCTGCTGACATGGACAAAATAAAAGACAGCTTAGTGCATCTGGAACTACAATAGTGGAGTTGCTGGAGGAGAAGGCGCAGAAATGAAACCCCTCAGGACAAAATTTCAGTCCCAGGTTGTGGTGGGTTGACCACTTATTTCATTTGTGAACTCAGGCTGGAGTATATTAGGGCCAGATTTGTGGTGGTATGAGCAGGGAGACAAGATTATTCGCACTCCTCTGTCAACACAATGATAATGTTTTAACGTCTTCCTCTATAAGAATATGATGAAGGTCATCATTGATAATGCCTGTAAAGTGATCTGAACAGATAAAACATTGCCTGTTTTGAAAAAAGTGCACTCAAGGCACCTTCTATTAGGTGTTCAGTAACCAAGTTAAGAGATACCTGCTAGTGTTGGCTTGATCTTCCTGGGCCGGCCTTGTTTTCTGCAAGCCACTCCTTGCACAGTGTCAAAAAATAAATACACCTAAGCGTAGGGCCACACGCCGCAGCTATTTCCTTGCTCTGTGCAGAGCAGCATGCGATAGTTAATGGAGCCTTGCACTTCCTTTGGCCCTTGTGACCCATGAAGCAGAGGGTGTTTTAGTCAAATAATCCATCATGAATAGTAATCAGTGACTGTGCCATAACATGTGAAAGCAAATTTTTAAATCCAAACGGATCTAGAGCTCCCTGTTGTTAAATTTCTAATATTTCAAAGACTTAGCTTTGAATCTTAACAGTATCCTGTTAAAAGTTTTCAAAAGTAGCTTTGTGGGGTCAGCTGGAGCAGGTGTGTTGCCATTGATGTCATTAAGCTGTTACTTTACTGTTGTATACTAATGAAAGTACTTAACTGAATGCTTTAAAATCTGTAATTGTGTTCTTAATTATCTTGTAAATTATTTTATAGGAACATTTAGGACACTGGAGTCAGGGTCTAAAGAGCTCCATGCAAGATCCAAAAATGCAGGTGAGAGCTGTGCACTTGGTACTTTACGGTAGTTCCTGTCTAACAAAGTGAAATGAGCTTTCTTTCTTTCTCCTGCAGTTTACTTTAATGATCTGATTAACCAATGGCATACCGCATAAGAGCGGAATTATGCCTCCCTCTCTGCAGGAGCATTAATTAGGGAGTCTCTACTATACTGATTTGGGGAATGTCATTATCTTAATTATCTTTGAGCTCTCTACACTGTCAAATTTGGCCAACAGATTTCAAATAGGTAGTTGGGAGAGGAAGTGAGCAGTGCAGTAGCAGTGCAGTTGCTTTGTTTCCTCAGGAAAACCAGCCAAAATGGGGGTGTGGTTTGAAGCTAAACAAGTAGTGGAGGTTCCTGTTTTCCAGCAGTCAGCACTGCCTTGTTTCCAGGCATGGTGCAGTTTCCTGGTTTGCAGCAAGCGCTTTTAAGTGCAACACCTCTGTGCCACCTGACAGGATGTGACCCCTGGCTCCTCCTCCACCTGGTTTCTTTGTGCCAACAAGAATTTCCTGGGTGGCTTCTTTTAGCCTTCTGCAGATGCACCTCCTTCTCTCTGCTTTCCTGTGGCTGCATAATGGTTTTCCTTGAGCCGTTTTTTTGTTGTCCGCTGCCTGCTTTTGGGGAGGTCAGGCTCAAGACACAGAAATCTGACCAATATCTTTTGTGGCTGCAGTGTATATGCACTTTCTTGTTATTACAGTCTGAGAGAGCCCTGAGAGAATTTTCCCTATCCATGTGTACAACCTACTTTATTTTTAAGTTGTGGCAAATTATATAGAGAACTCCTCCTCAAAACCAAGCTTCTTAGCTCAGCTCCAAAACAGGGAGAATTCTGTCCCTCAATATTCCACTGTCTGGCAGAGTAACACCTGAAGCTTCGGTCCACTTAGCCTGGGTTTTGGCTGGCTGACTGCTGCACGGCCATCTTAACATTAGAGATGTGTTTTTCCCTTTGTAATTCTCAGCAAGAGAAGTGTTCAGGAGGGTGGATATTGCAGACACCCATGAAACTTGGTTCTTGAAAGCACTGAATAATTTCAGTTGAAAAAGACCTTTGGAGGTCACTCAGTCTGGCCACTTAGAGTGATTGCCCCAGCCTTTGTCCATTTGAATTGAGATGATCTCCAAGGGCAAAGATCCCACCGCCTCACTAGGCCCCTTCAGGTGATGGTCACCCTCAGGCTGAAAACAGTTTCCTTGATAGCTGATCAGAAGGTCCATGGTCCCTGGTTTTTGGTTGTTTTGGGTTTTTTTAATTCAAGTCTAAAGTTTTGAACTGTGTAGAGCTGTAGGAGAAATGGTTGCCTATTCTTCTGAAAATGTTGTCAGTTTCAAATGAGTCTTTCTATGGGGAATGACAAAGAAATTGAAATACTTGCTTACTTTTTAAACATGAAGCCTAACCTTCATCCTTAAGTGCAATTTGATATAGCACTTAGCAAGACAGTGCTTTCTGGACCCAAAAGATAAGCTTGTTTTAAAACCATTCTTTGAATAGTAGAACACGAATAACTGTGACTTAGGTTGGCTTTATTAGTTATGGTTCTGAACTAAATAAACAATGGAACTCCTGTCTTTGCTTTTTAATCAAATATTAAATAAATGGCAATGTTTATTTCTTCTGAAAACACTTGATCATGATCCCATTCCCACTGGCTGCATATGCAGATGCTAATGTGTGTATATAAAAACACGACGGCATCAACTAGTCTTGCTGCTGAAAGAATTAGTCCTATGATTTGTGTGCTGATAAAATTTTAATCTTCCTTCCTGTAGAGCAAGACTGATCAGCTCTGTATATAAACACGTGAGAATAATTAGCAAAGATGACAAAGACATCATCCATGACTCACCAATAGACACACTGCTAAGAGATCAGAGACACAGCACACGGTTTCTGCTTCAGAACCTGACAGATTTTTATTGCCAGGGGCAGGTTGTCCCCCCTGTTGTCCACATGCTTTGCTGCTATTTCTCTTCATCAGCTGCATCAAATTGTTGCAGGAGGCAAAACAAAGAGAGGATGGGAGGAAGGGCATGGTATGCAGGAATCTTTCCTTTTCGTGAGTGACCTTACAAAGTAGCACCTTGGGCAGCGTGAACTGAAATAGCTCAGACTTCAATGGTTTTGTCTTTGTAATGCTGGCAGAGGTCTGCAGCGCTGAGCACACTGTTTGTAGCACCTCTGAGACTCATGTTTCACTGTAGAAATCTGCGAAGGAAGAAGCAGTCCAGTGCATTCCGACGTGCTCTATATTGAGCACAGTGCTGTGATTTTTTGTTTCAGTGACTGCAAAGCTTGAATGTAGCCTGATGGAAGTAGAGTTTCCTAGACATTGCGGGTATCTGGGTTTAGATGATTTTCAGCAGAGTTCATATCCACCTGTAGCAATGGTTAACTTATTGCTGTGTAAGAATAGAAAGCTTTTTCCTTAAAGTGTATAAAGAGGGATACTGGAACATCTCTCCATAGCTGCCTGGTGCATGGTATGGAAGAGGGTGCATATCCTGGACAAGCTTAGTTCCAGCAAAAGTCCTCCTTGAAGTGGGATGCTCTGCTGCTTGATATTTCTCCCTATCTAGTAATCTTTCCTGGCTGTTTTCCTGGCAGTCCCGGTTGCACTAGCAGCACGTACGTATGCTTAGGGACTTCTGCAACCACAATGGGACGTGCAGATGGATAACACCTCAAAATCCGCTGAATATAGTGCTTATAGGAGTAAGATATTTAACTTTCGATCAGTAAATATAATTGTTTGTTTTGCAAGGTTTACAAAGATGAAAAGGCTGTAGTCATCAAGGATAAATATCCCAAAGCACGTTACCACTGGCTTATCTTACCATGGGACCCCATTTCAAGCCTGAAGTCAGTCACGCGGGACCATCTTGAACTCCTGGAACATATGCATGCAGTTGGGCAGAAAATGATCGAACAGTGCCCTGACAGAGCAAGTCTGGAGTTCAGACTGGGTTACCATGCTATCCCCAGTATGAGGTAAGATCTGCATGAGTCATCAGGTGGAGACCCTGTTCTTCCAGTTACACAGATTTGGGGTTAAGTCTGTAAGTCGATCTGGCATTGCTGAATAACAACTAATCCTCCTGAAGAGCTTGGTGACCAAGTCCCTTGGGCGCAGCTGTGCACACACTGCTGTGTACCTGCCGGTGGGCTACCCAGGCACTGCGGGGCCGGTGGGGAACGCCTGTCGGGCTGCCCTAGCAGAGGGCCTGCAGTCCGCCTGGGCTCAGTCCCCGTGACAGAGGCCGTGCTGCCAGTGGCCAAGTGCTAGAGCGTCCCCGCTCCCAGGGCACCGAGCTGGCATCAGAGAGTGACTCTTAAGCCTATCAAGTCCGGCCTGATACTGAGCAAGGATTTGAGTCTCGTGTGTAGCCAAGTCCAGATCTCACAGCGTGGGTATTGCAGTCAGTGTTCCTAAGTGGTTCTTCACTTCTTGGATGCAGCTTTGAGTTGCTGATCAAGTCCCATTCAGGTACTCTGCAAAGTTTAAACCTTTGATTTAATAAAACCACTATCTCTGCCTTTTTGGAAGCTAGCAGGAATATAGACTGTAGTTAGGGGCCAATGGAGTACGCAGACTAGTGGCCTTGCCTGTTCAAGTGAAACGCTTGAGACAGTGCTTCTAGAATGGACTGCGTTTCTTCTGTCACAGGACTATGGGTCAAACATGGTAAGGCTGACCCATAAGGCTGGCAGTCTGACTGCGGAATCAGGTTAGCTGGTACTACTGCAAAAGAACTTGGAGCATTAACATTCTTCTTCTGTCTTACCTACATACTGTATTTGTTTCAGTCAGCTACATTTGCATGTAATCAGCCAGGATTTTGATTCTCCAGCCCTGAAAACCAAAAAGCACTGGAACTCTTTTACTACAGACTACTTCTTAAACTCTCAAGGTAATATTAGAAAAGGTATTTCTCATAACATGTAATCCTGCTTATGGGTTCTGGCTTCGGGCTTTTTTTCCTGAATAAATTGTATTGTGATAAGTGAAAGGTTTTATGGAATTTCAGATATTAAGGAATAACACTAAGTAAAAGTCAACTGAATTTTGTGACTGGTTTAAATTAGAATGCAGCGATGACATGCTGTGCATGCGAAGCATTACACGGAGATTCTGCAGTGCCACGTACGTGATTTGTGATGTTACATGGTCCAAATACCTGTGTTCTCTTTTTTCTTTTCAGATGTGATAGAGATGGTAAGAAGCAAAGGAAAGGTGATAGTGAAAGATCATGCCTCTGAACTTCTCAAATTGCCCCTCAGATGCCATTGTTGCAAACAACAGCTGTCCACTATCCCACAGTTAAAGGAACATCTCAGGAAACATTGGCCAAAATGACTTTGCAAAAACTCAACCTGCAACCTGTGTGCAGATTTCAGGCTAAAACAAGGACCTCAAAATGTTAGTGGACATGTATGTTTTTTGTTAATGGAGTGACAGTATTGTGGGAAAAATAGCCTGGAAACAGCAGCATGTAGTACACTGTTATGGCTTAGACAAAAAAACTGCACAACATAAAATAAAGTGACTTGTGAAATTGAAGGTGTGTTTGCAGCTTTGTTGTGGTCCTGCCACACTTCAGCTACCTGAAAGGAAGTTGTAGTGAGGCGGGGGTCGGTCTGTTCTCCCCAGTAAAAAGCAATAGAATAAGCGGAAATGGCCTTAAGCTGCACCAGGGGCAGTTCAGGCTGGATATTAGGAAGAATTTCTTTACTGAAAGGGTTGTCAGGCATTGGAACAGCCTGCCCAGGGAGGTGGTGGAGTCACCATCCCTGGAGGTGTTTAAGAGATGGGTAGATGTTGTACTTAGGGACATGGTTTAATGGTGTTGGTAGAGCTGGGACAAAGGTTGGACTCGATGATCTTGAAGGTTTCTTCCAACCGAAACTGTTCTATGGTTTTGATTAATCTGTATGTCAGCTGAAATCTGGAAGAAGCGTTTTGTTTGGATGAAAGGATTTATTTTAATTCAGAAGCTGAGCTGTTGAGCCCAGATCTAGCTTTCTACTGATAAAAAGGAAACAGTGATGTAGAGGTCTTTCTCTTGATGTCTTCTGCCTATCACTGAAGTTTCTCTTAAGCGATAATGTTGCAGAGGCTGGTGTGGCTGACAGCAAACTGTCAAAGGAATGTACTGAGAGTGTATGGGAAGGAGCATCAGCTACAGCGCCCCCACCTTGCTGTGCCGCAGCACGGCTTGAAGGTTTCAGTGCTGCTGCACTTCCCCTTAGCTGTGGAGCAGACATTGCCCCTCACCAGGGTGCCAGGGGGGGTAGTCACTGCTCAGGCTCTAAGAGGGGCAGCCCATGTCTTTCATGTACAAGGATGTCTTTAATCATTTATATAAAAAAATACATGTATAGTATGCAATGACCAGTTTTACTTCTCCCCAGAGCAATAAACTATCAAGGTTTGCAGTTGCTTGGCTGCATATGTTGAGGTTGGTACAGAAATTGTGTGGTTTAATGCTGCCCTGTTTCTCCACGTCAGGATGTTAGTGACTCTTTATCGTTTTGTTGTTGTCGAGAAGTGAACTCCCAGATCGGCATCAGAGCAGTAGTAATAAAAATCTGTTTCTGGGTCCAGAATGGATTTGTAGGGTTCAATTTCATTCTAAGCCCAGCTTTGACTCATTAAGATGCCCTCTGGGCGAAATGGCTTTCACCAAAAGAGAACACAGAGCTTTTCCCTCGGTAAGTTTGCAGATAACGCTAAATTGGGTGGGAGTGCCGATCTGCTCGAGGGCAGGAAGGTTCTGCAGAATCATCTGGAGAGGCTGGATCAATGGGCCGAGACCAATTGTATGAAGCTTAACAAGGCCAAGTGCCAGGTCCTGCACTTGGGTCACAACAACTGCAGCAAAACTTAAAAGAAAAAAAAAAAAGAAAAAGAAAAAAAAAAAAGAAGGAAACAATGACAAAAACACAGCCAGTCTAGGGATTCACTCTTAACACAGCCAGACCTGGGCTTCACTTGGCCCCAGAGGTGAAGTACTGCTAATGCTTAGCAACAGGAACTGCTTTGGACCAAGAGCAGTTGCAAATGCTGGAGAAATGCAGTCAGCCAGGGCTTCTGCAGCTGACACTTGTCTGTTTCAAAGTGTGATGCTGACATCAGTGAAAAAATGCAGGGAATATCCTGCTGTGTGGGGGCGGCACTATGATGAAGGGCTTTGCCAACTGCTTCCAGACGGAACTGGCCAGGATGTGCCCCAGTGACAACCTCTTCATAGCCTCGTCCCCCCAGAGGCAGTCTACTCTAGTCTCACTCCACTCTGTCCAGGAGCTCTGGGTTTACCGGAGTGAATATGAAGAATGTGCTCCTTTCTGCATTTTTAGGAAGTGCTTCTGAAGAAGATGCTTGGTGCCTTAAAAAGACCAGGGTTGACAAAGGGTACTTGAATCAATTCAAGAGCACCTCCCTTCCACCCCTTGCTGTATCAAAGAGATTTCTGCTGGAGCTGTATTGTTTCTGTGATATTGTGTGCCTGAAATACTTTTTTTGGGGGGTATTTTGTATTCAATGAAGCTAGACTGCAGACAGGTGACAAAACTGTACTCTAACAAGAGAGTCAGGCTTCCATACAGACAGCCACTTTCACTCAGAAATTGGGACATTTCATAAGCTAATTCCATATTTCTGCGTTAATGGCGTACTTCAGTTCCTGACAACCACATCTGTTTGTACGAACCTCCACGGAAGTCAGAAGAGCAATTTCAAAGTGTCTGCAAAGAGAGCGGCTAAGGCAGAATACATTTCAAGGTGACATGCCTCACTAAGAAACCAAAATAGCATCCTAGGGAAAGCAGACTCCTGGCTGCTGCTGGAGAGAAGCTAAGGTTCGGCAACTGCAGTAGGAACCAGGAGGCAGGACATCCCATCCCCATCGCATCCCATCATTCCCCGCCCCCC